TTAGGACTATTTTATTTAACTTTATTTATTTGTTTGTTTATTTTGACCAGAGAGGGATAGAGCGAGAGGAAAAGTGAAAAAGCAAGCAACCAAATCTAGGACTTGAACCATGGTCGGCCATGTGGGAGTCCAGTACCCTCAACGACCACACCATCAGCCAGCCCCTGCTGTTGATACTTTTCATGGAGGCTTTGATTTCCTGTATTGTATTCTTTATCTCCAGAAGTTCTGTTTGATTCTTTTTCAGTGTGTCTGTCTCTTTATGGAGTTCCTCCTTCAAGTCATGGAAGGATTTTCTCATCTCCTGGAATTGGTTGCTTATTTTCTTTAGCATCTCATTGAGTTTTGTTACAGTGAATATTCTCAATTCCTTTTCTGACATTTCTATGATCTCTTGTGTTTTATCCATTGTTGGTGAGGAGTTATTACATTCCCTTCTAAGGTAGGTATTTCCTGGTTTTCTATTTCTTTCTTCTTGTTCTTTTTTCTTTTCTTTTCTTTCTTTTTTTTTTTTTTTTGAGAGATTTTAGCTATAGGGTGCGTGCGCTTGCCAGACAGACAGACAGACAGAGACATAGAGACAGAAAGCGAGAAATCACCCCCCAGGGGGGATGGTCACACCGCAATCCCTTCTCCTCCATTCTCCTCTCGGGCTCTTGGGTACGCACGCACACGCGCCCGGCGTGAGTTTCAAACCACCGGGTCTGGGATGCTGAAGAGATGATGGAACCTGCTAATCTTCTGACTGAAGAGAAGGATGAGGATTTTCTCTTTGAATAATCTTTCCTGGTCTGGTTCTTATAGAAACACTAACACTGGCTCTACAGTATGTAATTTTGGTATGTGTGTCTATTTATTTTTTGGCCTAAGGATTTAACTGGTTATAAAATGTACCTAAATATGTATTTGTGGGAGTACTTTTGCAGAATTATACTTCAGCAACCATGTAACAAAGATGAAATAGATTTGTGAAACCTGTGAATTTGTGAACTTGTAGAACTTATTCTGCAAAATTGTCACCATACACATGATCTGCTTACTAAGACTGTTAGGAAATACCCCTAAGGAAACATTAGTGGTCTCAGGTCAGTTGCTGTAGAGCGGCCTTTGTTCCTACCCACTTGTAAACCTTACCACTGCTATCTGATTGCTGCAGTCCTCTTTGTCTTACTGTGGTACTTTTCTCCTTAAGCTTTATGAAATCCTTCGCTTACTTTTCCTTACATGACATGTTTCTGTCTTGTCATAGGTACAATTCTGCCAGTCTAAATGTGACTATGGTATAAACAGAGTAAAATTATTTTAAAATAAATTGCTCTTTTTAAAAATTGATTTACTGCTAAGAATAACTGTTTGAGGACCAGCAGATGGCATAACAGTTACATTGTTGGAGTCCCATATGGTTGACCATAGAGTCCTGAACCCAGAGGCGTCAAACTCATGCCAGGCATGTGTGCATTTGTGCCCAAAATCCTGTGAGGAGAATGAAGGAGAAGAGATTATGGTGTGGACATCCCCCAGGGGGGTGATTTCTCACTTTTTGTCTCTCTGGCAAGTGCACGTGCCCTAGAGCAAAAATCTGACTCTAAAAAAAATTAAGTGTCACTTTTTTATGCTCAGATCAGAGAACAGTATTGTCATTTACAGAGCTTTCTCTGCAGACTTGTAGGAAGGCAATTTTTCCCCCCATCTATTCATCAGAATTTTCCTTAATGGCTTACTTTGAAGCAATTGTTGTACTTTTGGGGTACTAATAAATGATTACCAATGAGTTAAAAATAAATAAATAATGGGCCAGCAGGTGACATGGTGGTTAAAGTTGGACTCCCACATGATTGACTATGGTTTGAGTCCTGGACCCACGCTGCTGGAAACTTCTAACAGGTGTGTGTGTGTGTGTGTGTGTGTGTGTCCAAAATCCCAGGAGAATGAAGAAGGGATTGAGGTGTGGCCATCCCCACTGGTGGGTGATTTCTTGCTTTCCCTCTCTCTGTCTTTCTCCAGTGAGTGCATTCACGTGCCCTATGCAAAAACTTCAAAAAACAGTACAAAACAAAGCCAAAAAAATACAACCCTCCTAAAATTAAAGATTTTAATGTTAGATGGATGGAGAAGACTTACGATTTTCTGGCCAAACAATTCTGAGACAGTGTAAGTGTAAACTGGAACTAAGATTATGAAGTACAACTACTGTAGACCCTGCTTTTTTATTGCAGTATTTAGGAAGCAAGCATGACCCCATCTTGGAGGAGCACCTCCAAGAAAAGTGGGGAATGAAGCAAGAGCAACTCCATCTTGGAGGGGTGCCTCAATTACAAACTGTTAGATTCCTATGACTGGAAACTTGACTTCTCTTCTGTGCCTAAGAGTAAATAGAGTGATTAACTTTCCTATTGTCATTAAACCCCACTCCTCCTAACTGCCCTAAAATGTTCCTTAGTGATGTAACCATCACCCAGACCCCTTGCCCTGAGCCATGAAGACCATTAAAATTCTATTGTGTTTAGGCAGAGACAGAACATACCCTGAAGAATGATTAACCTGCTTTTCTTGCTTCCATACTGTGCTTTTGCTTTTACATCGTTAAAACCCTACCTCCTACCCTTCTCCCCGATCTGAGCCCACTGCACCTTACCCTCATGAATCATCACGTCATCCCGGATATGACTGTGCATTTTTCGCCTTTCTAAGCACCCCTCACCTTACACTCAGGGCTACAGGGTTTTGAGAGACATGAGACCCCTCTTATGACATGGCTTAATCAATAAACTCCAATGAATTTGCTATGTCTGGATGTCCTCTTATTTCTTGCTGAGTAGACTATAATATATACACTAACACAGTTGCTCCAAAGATGGATAAAATCGGTTAATGGATGAAAACAAATGTCTTTTTAACCAGGTGAAAGTCAGCAACATATTGTTTCCTTGTTAAGCTTATAGTAAAATAGAGACATGATTTTCCATGCTTTAGAATACATTTATAAAATATAGTTATGGGGAGGCCAACAGGTGGTATAGTGGTTAAGGCACTGGACTCCCACATGGCTGACCACTGTTCGAATTCTGGACCTGGCGGCTTGTTCTGCCACTTTCTCGCTTTCCCTCTCTCTCTTTTAATTGCCTTTCTCTGGTGAGCGTACGTGCCCAATAGCAAAATTAAAATAAATAAAGTTAAATAAATAATTATTTGGAAAAAAGTACACATATATAACCATGGGTTCCACAACAGTACCAGTTCACTAAACTAAAAAAAGGAAAGCTGATCATTAGCATCGATTGGTTCGCTTATATTCAAATTTCCCACAGGGTGTTAGGTTGACAATCCATGATCTAATAAATAAGTAGTATTTCTTTTTTTTTTTTTTTTAAGAATTACCTTATTGGGACAGGCAGTTAGCATAATGGCTATGTCGCTGGACTCCCATGTAGCCGATCGCAGTTCGAGTCCCGGACCCGGTGGCTTAAACTCACGCCGGCTCCTGTGTGTCCGTGCCCAAGATCCCGAGAGAATGGAGGAGATGGGATTGCAGCGTGGCCATCCTCCCTGGGGCGGGGGGGTGATTTCTCGCTTTCTGTCTCTCTCTCTCTGTCTTCCTGGTAAGTGCATGCGTACTATAGCAAAAACCTCTCCAAAAAAAAAAAATTTATTTAACTTCATCTATTTATTTTACCTTGACCAGAGAGAAACAGAATGAGAGAGAAAGAGAGAGACACCATGCTTCCTCCTGGCTCCTGAAAAAGCATAATTTCACGGGACGGGGAAGTGCGTAGAAATCAACTCTGACACATCAAGCCCACGTCTGCCGCTGAAGGACTCATTCCCCGGAAATAAAGGTAAGTTTTCCTGCTGGTTGCTAAGGGATTGGCGCAGAGCCTTGTGGGAAATGTAGTCTATCCCTCCAGTTACGTAACCTGCACAGACCCCTGAGAATCCTTTTCCCTGCTCCTTCTGCGCATGTGCTGCCCCGCCCACCCCCGCCATCTTGAGTCGGCTATTCGTTACACTGCCGCTGTCTGGACGCTGGCAAGGTTTGGTGTGGATTGTGTGCCCCGGAATGTTGGCGCAGGGTGAAAGAGGAGTCCCTTGGGATTCGCGGTACACTGGAGAGCGGGAATTGCGTCCTACCAATTGACAGGGGCAGACACGTTGGTGACTCTCAGGTACGAGCCCCGGACCGGAGAGCGTCTGCGTGCTTGACCTTAGTGTAGAGATCCGCAGCTTCTCAGTGAGATGCCGGTGCAATGCAGGAAGGCCAGGCCTGGGAAAGTAAAACCCAAAAGCACGTGGTTCCTGGAGCTGTGAGCACAGCGTAGTCTGGTCCTAGATGGCGACGAAGAGGGGCCAGGTTGGTCTGCAGGTGTTTCTGCCCTCCTGTTCCCCTGTATGACGTTCAGCGTACTCTTTTGTAACGTGAGCGTTAAGAGTATTAGTGAAATGTGCCCAAATAACCAGAAAAATCACTGAAATGTGCAGGCCGAGTCTTGACAGTGGCCTAGGTGATGTTACTTAGGAAAGGAGTCTTGAGGGTGTGATCTGTGGTGAACACCCTATCACACTTCAGAGGGTTTTTCTATAGTGCTCTACAAACGCTCCCGTTTCTGGGACCAGCAGTTAGCGTAATGGTTATGTCGCTGAACTCCCATGTAGCCGACCGCAGTTCGAATCCCTGAGTGACGGCTTAAACTCATTCCAGGCGTGTGCCCAAGATCCCGAGAGGAGAATGGAGAAGGGATTGCTGCGTGACCACCCCCCCAGGGGGTGATTTCTCACTTTCTCTGTCTCTGTCTTTCTGGTGAGCTCACACCCTCTATAGCAAAAACCTCTCCCCCACACCCCAAACAAACTAAAACAAAACAAAACAAAAAAAAGCTCCCATTTCTTGTCTCCTGGCATCCCCCTTACCCCCCCCCCCCCGTTTTTTCAGAGGTCGAAGTCTCTAAATCTCGGTCTGACATCACATTAGAGATCTAGTGATGCTGATTCTTCTATCCCGACAGTTCTCCCTGGTAGTGTGGAAAGGGTTTGTTAAGGTATATCTGCTTTATAAGAAAGATCTGACTTTAGGATTTGACGAGATGGGTAATTTTCCCAGTGTCACACGATTCGTAGCTGTCAGCCATGCTGACTTTTTGGTTAGTGTTTTCCATTGTGCCACAGTTAACTCAGAGCACCTATTTATTTTTGTTTATTTATTTTTAATTGAACTTTTAAAATGTTATTTATTTAATTTGACCGCCTGGCGTGAGTTTAAGCCACCAGGTTCAGGACTCGAACTACAGTTGACTACATGGGAGTCCCACAACATAGCCATTACGTCAACTGCTGGTCCCGGCAATATGGATTTCTAATAAGCCATGGTTCTGACAAGATCCTTAATGTTTCTCCATAAATAAAGTTTCATGAACAAAAATTATTTTGAAGTGATTTGTATTACTAAGTCAAAATGCAGTATGTCATGTGTAGGAAGTTTATTAACAAGTCATCAAGTTTAAAAACTCATATTTACAGTGACATTGAATAACCATAACCTATAAGCAAAAAAGAATGCCCCCATAGTAGTTTCTGCTAAAACATTTCTGCTAAAACAAGTGTAAAAAACTTATCTGAGAGTAGGGCACTGCTTAAAAAAATGCAGCTCCCAGGACCAGCAGATGGCTTGGTGGTTAGGGCTTTGGATTCCCACATGGCCAACTGTGGTTTGAGACCTGGACCTGGTGGCATGATTTCTCTCTCTTTCATGAGCACATGTGCTCTATAGAAAATTAAAATTAAGTTAAATAATTCTAAAAATAAAATGCAGATCCCTTTGTGGGTTCTTTACTAGAGTTTTCCAAGATCCAGTAATTTGGAACCAAATACAGATTACTTGGAAAGCTTCTTGGTAACGTTACACTTTCACCTTACTTCTGCACATTGACTCAGGTTATTATAAATTATCTTAAGAAACTTTATAGGACAGCTTAATAGGGGTTATTTTACAGTGCATGTTTACATAATTCATATAGGCACCAATGTGTGTTCTAGGCAGTATCAGAGGTTCACCATTTGCACCTGTATCACATCTGAACAGGTTCTGATACACCAGATATAACTGGTCCCTGAACTTTCTCAGTCCAACAGTTTCTCCAAGTCACAGAAGGCTGGAAGCCAAGTCTCTCCTCCCATGGGGTGTCTCATTCCCAGTTACTCTCTTTAGAGGAGGAAGAACCTGAACGTCCTCATAGGAGAATACCCACTGGGACCCACATGTCCTTCAGATTCCTCTAGGAATTGCAGACTCTGAGCAGGAGGGATTGGCTTCTCAGAAGGATGAGGGAAGGAATTTGGAGCTTCACTGTCTGCTCCCCAATCTTTCCTGAAGACCACCTGGAGGGGCTGGCCCAGAATGTGGGCTAGAAAGTAGAAGATTAGGCCGGCATGGTCAGGCCTGGACAAGTAATTCAGTAGCGATACAGCAAAGGAATGCCACAAGTCAATGGTCAGCACCTGGGCAATTTCCTCCTAGTCACATGAAATGGCTCTGTGTCCAAATCCATTTGTATTGAGGGAAAACCAAGGAGCTTTGAGGTCCCTAGCTCCGGTCTCTCAAGTCTTTCAGTGGTGTGGAAGGGCCAAGTCTTAGTTAATTTGAGAGATTCAGTATATCTAGATAGGTATTTGGATATATCTTTTGCCTGGTGCATGAGGCTGAGTTGAGTCCTGGCTCAATGTATGTGTGGCAGATTGTGGGCTAAGTGGGATGTGACCTCACATCTAGATACTTGGCTTGTGCCTGAGGGTTGAGGACATGGCCCAGGCTGAGTGCTTTGGAAGCAGCCTGGGTAATTTCAAAGGAGTAATTATGCAGTTCATTGTTTTATCAGGTTCCCAAAGAGGCAAGGATCCTAGATGAAGTGCTTGGGTATGGATTGGGGAATGTCAGGGGATGGCTACTTGCTGTTCCTTATTTTTTTCTCAGAAGTTGAAAAGATTCAGGTCAGGTCTTTTGATGGGACATATTGAAGGGCAGATGGATTTCATGGCAGCTTTCTTAACAGCTTGTTGCTTTCTGAAAGTAGTTGAAGATAGATTCTATCTTCTTTGCACAGGCAGACATTAACCTGTTAAGAGTGTTGTGGGAAAAGACATAAAAATATAATACTAAGATTTTTTGTATATCACATGACTAGGTAAAAATTACATGGATCACTTAAACAGTCAAAGAAATAAAAATGGCAATATTATTATTATTATTATTATGGAGCGGTTTTTGCTATAGGTTGTGTGCGCTAACTAGAAAGATAGACAGAGAGACAGAAAGTGAGAAATCACTCACACACACACACACACACACACACACACACCCGCAGCGGCATGGCCACACTGCAATCCCTTCTCCTCCATTCTCCTCTTAGGATCTTGAGCATGCATACACAGGTGCTCGGCATGAGTTTAAGCCACCGGACCTGGGACTCAAACCATGGCCTACTACGTGGGAGTCCAGCAACATAGCCATTACGCCAACTGCCGGTCCCAAAATGACAATTTTAATATGAAAAGAAATCTACCATCAATGGCAGTGAAGAGAAAACAATTTGCAGTATCAACTTGTTATTTACTCCTTTAGATTGTAGATTTTTTAAAAATAATTATTTTTTGGGACCGGCAGGTGGAGTGGTGGTTAGGGATGCTGGACTCCCACAAGGCCAGCCACAGTTTGAGTCCCGGACTTGGGGCTTGCTTTTTCACTCCCACCCCCAACCCCCTGGGAGGGGGGATGACCATATCCCTTCTCCTCTAGTCTCCTCTTGGGATTTCAGCCATGTGGGAATCTAGTGCCTTTAACCACCATACCACCCACTGTCCCCAGTCTGCAAATCTCTTGATCTGTGACTTCTGGTTTCCAGAATTATGAAAATACATTTGCTTTTTAAAAACATTCTGGTACTTTTTGTGGCAACCTCAGATGCTATTCACAGATTATAAACTAATACTGTCTTTTAGTATTTTTTTAAAGTGAGAATAAGAAGAGATAGAAATTTCAAAAGGTGTGAAGAACATTTGGAATAATTTTGGAGAATAATAGAATAATTTGCTTAGCAGAACACAATAGAGTTGTCATATACTTTGAAAACCACTGGGAACCTAGTTTCTGTTTTTAGGCAAGAGTCAACAACCTTAGTCATGTGCTCTCAGACTCAGTTATGGAAGAGAGGTACATAGAGTCACCTGCTGTTGTCTTGACAAACAAATGTGGGAAATAATCCAATGGATAAGAAAAGTTTTATTCTTGGTAAGTATGTGTGCTGAAATACATAAGTGAGGATTGAATTGGGCAGTAATAATGAAGAAAGTTGCAATGTTTGGTTAATACAGTTAAAATACTCAAGGTTTCTGAATGGTAGAGGACCTAGAAATGGGGAGTAATTCTTTGAAAAAGTAAGAGACAAGACATCACAATGACAATGTGGAGTTTTTGCTTATTAATGTTAGAAGCACTGTTCAGGTAAAACCAAAGTGGAACTCTTCCATTCTCCTCTCGGGATCCTGGGCACGCGCCCGGAGTGAATTTTAAGACACCAGGTCCGGGACGTGAACCGTGGTCGACTACGTGGGAATCCAGTGACATAGCCATTACGCTAACTGCTGGTTCCTGTATTTATATTTTTTAAGGTAAAGTATTTTCTTGGCTCTCAGATCCTCCTTTATCTTGCTAATTCTCACCTTTTTCTCCTTCTCAGGCAAGACTGCTGCATTTGAGTTGTGAACTGTTGCTTTCAGGGACTAAGAATAATAAAGGTTTTCTGCTGCATTTCATCCTTCAGACCCCATTCTAGAGTAGAGAGGCAAACGCATAGGCCTTCAGAGAAAACTGCTGCCTCGGTGCCCCCTGTTTCCTTCTCTCTGTCTGTCTCTATCCTTTCATTTTTTTTCCAGTTTATTTATTTACATTTAATCACATGTCTTTACAGTATGCATTTCTTTTTCTAGCACAAATACCATGCATGTCAGTCAAGACAAAGATATTACTATATACATTATCATCAGCAAATAGCTTCTCATTTTTGTTTTGTCAATTAAGCATACTTTGGCTTGTTTTTTTTTTTTTTCCTTCCACTCCTAGATACTCTCCTAATGCTCTTTTGTTCTCTATTTTCTACACAAAATGACTACAAATTTTATTAGTATATAATAGTGATATCATGGCCGAGGATACTACTTTTCTCATTCAAGGAATTTTAAAGGATATTATCATCAGGGTGGGTGCCATTGATCCTTCCAATAGGAAACATTTTTGAAGTGATTAATCTTTTAATTTTAATTTATTTTACATTCATTCACTGTATATTGTTACAGCATACAAAATGAATTTTCCCATCTAGAATGTGCTGTAGATTGGCTCAAAGAAATTGCTGTACATATTATCTAATCTTTTTTTAAGAATTATTTTAACTTTATTTATTTACTTATTTTTAATTTGACCAGAGAGAGAGAGAGAGAGAAAGTGAGGAAGCAAGCCACCAGGTCCAGGGCTCAAACTGCAGTTGATCATATGGGGCTCCATCACCCTTAACCACCATACTACCTGCCGACCCCCATATATACTCTAATCTTTATTTTTTTAATTTTTATTTTATTTTATTTATTTTTTGGAGAGGTTTTTGCTATACGGAATGTGCACTCGCCAGACAGAGAGAGACAGAGAGATAGAAAGCAAGAAATCACCCCCAGGGGGGATGGCCACGCTGCAGTCCCTTCTCCTCCTTTCTCCTCTCGGGATCTTGGGCACACACGCACATGCACCCGGCAGGAGTTTAAGCCACTGGGTCCGGAACTTGAACCGCGGTCGACTCCGTGGGAGTCCAGCGACATAACCATTACGCTAACTGCTGGTCCCATTCTAATCTTATAAACAGTTTTATTTGATTGATAACTCAGTTCTATGGAAGAAAGATCTAAACATAAGGCTTGAATGAGCAATGAAGGAGAATAAGACTCTTGAAGCAGAATAAGATTCTTGAAGGAGAATAAGGCAGTAGACAGCTGTAAAGGATGTTGGAGAACCGTAACTGGAAATAAAGTAATGGTAATGAAATTTGAGAAGTTCCATGTTATTTACATATAAGTGGAAAACAAAATCCATATGTGGAATGAGTCAAGGGTCTCTATGTTTTGGAACCCGAAAGAGAGTTGAATAACTCTTGACAACATGGACTAAGTAACTTGTAAAACTCAATGCTCTTTATGTTCTTGTCCATAAGGTATATGTGGTTTTTTGTTTTTGTGGGTTTTTTTGGAGAGGTTTTTGCTATAGAGCGCATGCGCTCACCAGACAGACAGAGACAGACAGAGAGACAGAAACCAAGAAATTACCCCCCAGGGGGGATGGTCACGCCACAATCCTTTCTTCTCCATTCTCCTCTCGGGATCTTGGACATGCACGCACACGTGCCTGGCATGAGTGTAAGCCACCAGGTCCGGGACTCGAACCGCGATCGACTATGTGGGAGTCCAGCGACATAGCCATTACGCTAACTGCTGATGTCTATTTTCCAGTTTTGATCAGAGAGAGGGAAAGTGAGAAAGCAAGCCACCAGGTCCAGGACTTGAACTGTGGGAGTCCAGCACCCCTAAGTACCACATCACCTGCCTGCCCTTTCCCTTTTTTTTTTTTTTTTTTTTAATTTATTAGACATTGCTTCCTTTCACTGAGAGAGACAAAGAGAAAGAGAAAATTCCCCCTGTAGAGATCACCATGCCCCGGTCCCTTTTCCCTCATTCCCCTCTTGATTTTGGGCACACACGCACATGTGTCCAGGTTGTTTTTCAAGCTGCCAGGGCCAGGACTCAGGCTGTGCAGTTGACCACGTGGACCCAGCTACCTTAACCTCTGTGCCACCAGCTGGCCCTCTATTGTTTTATTAGCAACTCTGGTTATGTCCTTTTTAATATTGATCATGAGTCCAGCCAGTGGTACAGTGGTGAAGGCAGCTAGGTTCTCTGTGGTTGGCTGCATAGTTCAAGTGCTGGACCTGGCAGCTCAAGAAACATGCTGGGCAACTGGGTATGTTTGTCCAAAATCCCAAAAGGAGGATAGATGGAGGAGAAGGAATTGAAGTATGACCATCCCCCATGCTTTCTCATTCCTTTCCCCCATCCCTCCACCCCATCTCCAAGGAGTGCACACACCCTCTGGCAAATTAAAAATTAAAAAAATGAAAAATAGGGCCAGCAGGTGGTGTAGAAGTTAAGGTGGCTGTATCCCACATGGCCCACTGTGCAGTGTGAGTTGCAGATCTGGTGGTTTGAAAATCCTGCTGGGCTCATACATGTGTGTGTCCAAAATCCATGAGTATGGAGAAAGATTGCCACATGGCCATCACCCCAGTTGACTGTAAATATCTGGAATGTCCTATGCCTGTTTTTCTTAGAGTAGTACATTGCATATTTCTTTCACATGAATGGGGTGCACACTGAAATAAAGGTCTGAGGCTTCATAACAGGTAGGTCTGGTAATTTTGTACACAACTTAAATCTCATGATTTCTTTCTCCATCTACAGTTTTGTCTGCTTAGTGCTTGGACAGTCTGAGTAAAAACCCGGAGAAAAACTGCAGAAAAGTTGAGTTATTGGCAATGTGTCCACTGGTGAGTAGGGAATGCCTCTTTACTGAAGTTGCACTCTTAATGCCAGCAGATGGACAGGTTTGTCATAGTTATATGAATTTTCTAAGAGCTCTCAAGATGTTTTTAGGTATCCGAGCTCCAGTTAACTTTTCCAAGACTTTGGGATGATTATCCTGGTTTAGGAACTTGTAAATATCACATTAGTTATTTCTTTTTTTCTTAAGAATGATTTATTTATTTATCCGTATTATAATTTTTAAAATTTACTACAGGGCACGAGAGAGGGAGAAAGTAAGAAAGCAAACCACTGGGTCTGGGACTCAAACTGTGGTCCACTTCACCATGCCAGGAGTCCAGTGCCTCAACCACCATTCCTCCTGTTGGCTCCAATATTATCCTAATTTATTCTAGACTTCATTTGGTTGTATTTTTAGAGAAGAGATGAGATCTTTTTGTCTGTGATCTAGTCCTGGTCTATTGGAAAATCATTCATTCATTAGCCATGCTACTGTTTTGGAGTATGATAACTAGGCATTAGAGATGAGGTGAGGAATAGAACACTATAGCCCAACAGGGAGGCAAGTATTTCAGCAGAACTCCTGGAAGAAGGTTTATGCAATGCTGAGAGAAAACAAGAGAGTTAATTAAGCAAGAGATGGCCTGAAAAATTACTTGTTTTTTTTACTATTAAAGTTCTTAAAATTTACAGAAATCTATTTGAACTTTTAAAAGTTTTTGCTATAGGGCATGTGCACTCACCAGAAAGACAGAAAGCGAGAAATCAACCTCCTGGGGTATGGCCACGCCACAATTCCTCCTCCTCCATTCTCCTCTCGGGACCTTGGGCATGCACACACACGCGCCTGGCATGAGTTTAAGCCACTGGTTCTGGGACTCAAACTGCGGTCAACCACGTGGGAGTCCAGCGACATAGCCATTATGCCAACTGCTAGTCCCTGTTTGAACTATAAAAACTTCCAGAAAGATGACTAAAATACTCATTATTATTTTTATCCCCAATTACTCTTCCTGTCTCATTTTTTCACATCTCACTGAGGATATTATGTAGGAAGTATTGTTGACTTAGTTGTGGCTATGCAATTATAGAGTAAAATTGAAGCTCTAGGGAAATTTTTTAAAATCTGAATAATGCAAAAACCATTAAAGAGATTTCTTTTGTACTTGAACTGATAGATATGATAGCAATACAAGGGAACAGTAGCTGTCATAATGGCTACATTGCTGGACTCCGATGTAGTGGACTGCAGTTCGAGTCTCAGATCTGGTAGCTTAAAACTCATACTGGGTGCTTATGCTTGTGTGCCCAAAATCCCAAAAGGAGAATGGAGGAGAAAGGATAGCAGCATGGTCATCCCCCTGGGGGTGATTTCTTGATTACTCTCTCTCTAATGAACCCATGTGCCCTATAATAAAAATATCTCTAAAAAAGAAAGAAAATACAATACAAGAAAGACAGTAATAACTGCCATTCAGGATTCACATGAAAAATTCAGAATGGGATAGAAATGCTTCAGGAATGGTCAGGCTAGGATCCTCCTTAATTACAAAAATCTGAGAGGTTCCTAGCTTAGGCTGGTGAACCATCTGTCCTTAAACTGTACTGTGAACACCTTAGTCATATAGAATTGAGAGAAAACGTACTGCTACTGTTTTTATAACACATTATTAAGCCATTTTATAGGGGAGGGGTCTTAGGTTTGTCTAAGGGAGTAATTTTACTTTATGATTTGAAAGTGGCAGATTGTTGATAGGGTTTGCCTGAAGTACTTAAAATATTGGTGGAGGGAACTTCAATTATAAATTTTCAATTTTAAATTTTTAAAAATATAATTATTTAATTTTATTCACTGTCATTTTTTAAAAGTTGATCAGAGAGAGACAGAGAAGAGAAGGAAAGTGAGAAAGCGAGCTGCCAGATCCAGGGCTCTAACTGGGGTCAGCTATGTGGGAGTCCAGCTGCCTTAAACACCATGGAACCTGCCAGTGGTGCAGATTTTATAATGACCTGTCTAGAATTTGTAATTATCACTTTACTGGAAATTTTTCATGTTGTATAACATTAGTTCCTATATAATATTCCTTGACAATAATAATTTATGAATTCAGAGTATTTATGTCTTTGTGAGGGTTTCTCAAAGACAGACAGGAGCTGGAATATCAAGCACAATTTGATATTTGTATATACCCAGCCCTTTCTCTGCCTTATGTTGTCATCTCAGCTTTCTAGTCTTGACATTAGTAGGACTGCAATGTCTTAACTAGAATGCCTGTTATGTTCTAGGAATCAGTAACCTTTGAAGATGTAACTGTAAACTTCACCCAGGAAGAATGGGCCCTACTGGACACATCTGGGAGACTGTTATACAAAGATGTTATGGTAGAAACTATCAGTCATCTAATATGTCTTGGTGAGTCTGTCAATATGTGTGTATATATGTGTATATGTGTATGTACTTATTCATTGAATTAATCAAGTGTGTAGAAGGGCTTCCCATAGCCTACCTCATTCTCTATCCTGATTTTTTTCTTAGACAAAATAACCAAGAAATTTTTTGTAAATATATTTACATCTAGTTTATCACTACACAAGAAGGTGGTCTTGACAACAATTTTATGTCTTTCTTGATGTACCAAAGTCTTGAAAACTCAGAGTAGAACTGGGAACTTTATTGAATTCATTAATAGTTAGATATTTTATTAATCCACTCATTTCTGGGAACTGGTTCCAAGACCTCCCTCACTAACAAAAAATCTATACATGCATAAGTTCCTATAAAATTATTGAAAAATATTCATGTATATTCTTCAGTAGACTTTAATTCATCTCTAGAGACCCAGGTCTACCCAACATAATCTTCCTTTTGTTTAACTCAGAAGCAACTGTTTAGTGGCTTTAATTGTATCTGCAAAATCTCTTCCATTGTATCCACAGGGCCCACCCAGAATCAAGAAGTGAGTTTTTGGTCTCTTCACTAAGATTCCTTAACTCTGTGGGGCAGCTTCATGGCCTGGCAGTAAAGGCACTCAGAGCCTACATGGCCAACCATGTAATTCAAGTTCTGGATCTGGAAGCTTGAGAAATATACTGGGCACATGGATATGAATGCCCAAAATTCCTAAAGGAGAAATGGGGACAAGGGATTGCAGTGTGACCAGTCCCCATGGGGGATGATTTCTTCTCTTCCTCTCTGTCTCTCTCTAGCAAGAACATGTACCCTATAGACAAAAAAAAAAAAAAAAAAAAAACAAGGAAGAAAGATAAAAAATTTGTTTTCTTTCTTTCGAGAGAGAGATTTTAGTTATAAGATGTTCACACTTGCTGGAGAGACAGAGACAGAAAGTGAGAAATCATCCCTGAATCCCCAAGGGGAGATGGCCATATCGGAGCCTCTTCTCCATTCTCCTCTTGGAATTTTAGGCACACATGCTCATGTGCCCAGTGTGTTTCAAGCTACCATGTCCAGGGCTCGAACTATAGTCAACTACACAGGAATCCAGTGATGTAACTGTTAAGCCATCTGCTGGCCCCAGGAAAAAATTTCTTTAAAGATTAAATACACTTGGGTCCAGCAGATGGCATAATGGTTATATCACCGGATTCCCACATGGCTGGCTGCAATTTGAGTCCTGAACCTGGTGATTTGAACCAGAGGTGTGTGCGTACGTCCCCACAATCCATAGCGGATAAGGAATTGTGGCATGACCATCCCCCAGGGGTGTGATTTCTTCCTTTCTGTCTGTCTGTCTCTGTTTTTCCAGTGAGCATATACGCCCTGTAGCAAAAAATCTCTTTAAAAAAAAAAGATTCCATACCCTTATTTCCTAACAGTGGATAATGGGGAAAACTGTTAATTCTCCTTTACAGTTCATTATTTAAAATGTGCTTCAGTAAACAGCCTCTCAGCCTCTAAGAGAGGTTTTTTTTAAATTCTTTTATTCCAATTACCAGTTTGGTGTGGAGCCATTTCAAAATGGGAGTGTTGTTTATTTATTAATTTTTCCAGGCTGAAAGCTGAATTGTCAAAAGAAAAATCAAATGTAGCCTTTTGAAAATTGGGCCTATTATGCTAACTTGATTTTTTTTTTTTTTTTGAGAGGTTTTCGCTATAGGGTGCGTGCGCGCTCGCCAGACAGACAGAGAGAGAGACAGAAAGACAGAAAGCGAGAAATCACCCCCCGGGGGGATGGTCACGCCACAACCCCTTCTCCTCCATTCTCCTCTCGGGATCTTGGGCACACACGCACATGTGCCTGGCGTGAGTTCTAAGCCACCGGGTCCAGGATGTGAACCGCGGTCGACTACGTGGGAGTCCAGCGACACAGCCATTATGCTAACTGCTGGTTCCCCCTAACTTGATGTATTTTAACAGAGAAAAAGAGAAAGGCACTTGGAACTAATAAATTTTCGGCTGAACATTGGGGGTTTTATTTATTTATTATTTTATTGATTGATTAGAGATTTTTGCCTAGGCACATCTGCTCTACAGATAAAGAGAGAGACAGTGAGAGAAAGTGAAAAATCACCACCCCATCCCCACCACCCCAGGGAGGATGGCTAAAGCACAATCCCTTCTCCTCCCTTCTCTTCCCAGGATCTTGAACATGGCATGCACATGTGCCCGGCATGAGTTTCAAGCCATCACTTTTGGGATTTGAGCCCTGATTGGCCATGTGGGAATCCAGCCATGTAACTGCCATGCCAACGGCTGGCCCCAACACTGACGTTTTTAAAGATCCTGGAACATTTCTTGGCTAATGTCTCTCATAGCATAATGCAGCAGTAAATTGGAGTGGCATCTGAGTAGAACAGACTTATACATCCTTGACATATGCTAGTTAACAATCATATGCAGTATTTATTTATTTTTAAAGAATTACTATACAAGGTATTTACAAGGTAAATGCTATGTGAATAGTTTGAATATTATATTTATTTTTAGCTCTGTTATTTTTACTGTATATTGTATTTTTTTTTGTTTATTTTGAATTGTTTAAATCTGTGGTTGGTTGAATGTGCTGATATGAAACCTATATGCTGAGGCTTGAGTCCAAATGGTAAAAATAACAATTTATTCTTGAATTTCATTAGAAAAGAATACTCAGCCCACTGTGGAGACATTTTACATTTTCCTTTTTTGCTAAGTTTGATAATTTTGCATTCTGCTATTGATTTGGGGGTCAGCATCTACATCTTAAGGGCTTCACTGTGGCACAGAACCTGGATTTGTATCTGATAAAGGACCTTTTATGTTTCCTCTAATGAATGTGTAACTTGAGCTGACTTTCAAGTTTCTCTTTTTTTTTTTTTTATATTTTGAGAGGGGGAGAATGAAACATACACTTGATAGGATCCTATCACAATGCAGTACTCTTACCCAACGCTTCAGCCAGGATCATGGGTGTGCTTGCCCACAACCAGCATGCTTCAAGTTAACTCCTGATCCAAACTCCTACTTTTCCACATTGCAGAATGGTGTCCAGTATCCCATTCCACCACAGCTAGGGTGGTCTTCCTTACTCATCCTCAGTAGTTGTCTATGGACTTGATGATAATTACATTCACTAACACAGAACTCAAAATCTAGGTACTTTTGTTCTCACAAACAGGATATCAATTCTGCAAATCAAATCTGATTTTCCATTTGGAACAAGGTGAATTGATGTGGATGATGGAAGAAAGAAGATTTCCCCAAGTCCAGTGGTCAGGTAAGTTGTGAGTACTTGTGCCTCAATATAGGCAGGTGCCTGGTCAATAAGTATGTCCTTGAAATTACAAACTGCAGGTTTTGTAAAGTGAATGATGCTTTCTGTAACATGTAAGAGGACATTGGGAAAAGATTTTTCAGATATTGTTACTTCTTTCATATATCTGTCATAATGGATGCATCCTCTTGCCATAGCATTTAGTTTTGGGTGAAAGAATATTTATGTATTTCTTGGAATTATATTTTCTTATACTGACTGCTTTTCTTTCTCTTTTTTTCTAAGAATTATTTTATTTATTTATTTATTTATTTTTAATTTGACCAGAGAGGGACAGTGAGAGAGAGAAAAAATGAGAAAGCAAGCTGCCAGGTCCAGGACTCGAACCACAACTGGCCCTGTGGGAGTCCAGCACCCTTAATTGCCACGCCACTTCCCGGAACCATACTGACTGTTTTTCTAATCTTTGCTTTTAAAAATTTTTTATCTCCTTACCATTTGAAAATTTTTCTTTTTAGGTTTTGTCATAGGATGTGTGTATACTCACTGGAGAGAGACAGACAGTGAGAGGGAAAGTGAGAAATCACCCCCCAGGTGGATGGCTGCAGCGCAGTCCCTTTTCTGTTCTCCTCTCAGGATTTTGGGCACACATGCATATGTGTCCAGTGTTATTTATAAGCTGCCAGGTCTGGGACTTGAACTGTGGTTGACCATGTGGGAATTCAGCACTTTAATCAGCATGCTACCATTTGCATTTTTATACATTAATCCTGAAAATCTTTTCTTTTTTTTTTTTTAATTATTTTATTAGGAACCAGCAGTTGGCATAATGGCTATGTTGCTGAACATGTAGTCGACTACAGTTCAAGTCCCGGACCCAGTGACTTAAACGCAGGGCATGTGTGCATGCGTGCCCAAGACCCCAAAAGAAGAATGGAGGAGAAGGAATTGTGACATGACCATCCTCCCCTGGGGGGGTGATTTCTTGCTTTCTGTCTCTCTGTCTCTTTCTGTCTTTCTGGCGAGCACATGCGCCCTTATAGCAGAAACCTCTCCCATAAATAAATAAATAAATAAATAAATAAATAAAAATATAAATAAATAAAGAGAATTTTTTTATTTAACTTTATTTATTATTATTATTTTCCAGTTTGAACAGAGAGAGAGAGAGAGAAAGCCACTAGGTCCAGGACTTGAACTGTGATTGGCCATGTGGGAGTCCAGAGCCTTTAACCACCATGCTACCTGCTGGCCCCAAAAATCTTTTCTAATTGTCAATGTCCTATAATGCATTTCTTTTTAAAAAAAAAAATTATTTACTTAATTTTATTTATTTATTTATTTATTTTTAATTTGCTCTAGGGAATGTGTGCTCACTAGAGAAAGAGAAAGCGAGAAAGCAAGCCACCAGGTCTGGGACCCTTCACTCTAGTCAGACATGTGAGAGTCCAGTGTCTTAGGTACCACTCCACCTGCTATCCCCCATGATTCTTCGACACATTTGCTCCCTCTACATGCCAGGTTTTTTTTTTTTTTTTGAGAGGTTTTTGCTATAGAGCACATGCACTTACCAGAAAGACAGAGAGAGATAGAAAGCAAGAAATCACTCCCCAGGGGGATGGCCACGTCGCAATCCCCTTCCCCTCCATTATCCTCTCAGATTTTGGGCAGGCACGCACACGTGCCCAACATGAGTTTAAGCCACTTGGTCTGGGACTCAAATTGTGGTCGACTACATGGGAGTCCAGTGACACAACCATTATGCTGACTGCTGGTTCCCATGCCAGTTTTTAAAACACACTCACGTGGCCCTGTTTTTTTTGTTTGTTTGTTTGTTTTTGTTTTTGCCAAAGGGTGCCTATACTTGCTCAAGAGACAGTGAGAGGGATGACCACACTACATTCCCTCTTCTTCTGGGATTTTCGGCACACATGCACAAGTGCCTGGCATGAGTTTCGAGGTACCTGATCTGGGACATAAACCACAGTCAGCCATATGAGAGTCCAGTGCCTTTACCACTTCACCTCTATGCAACTTTCTGGCCCCAGGCCTGGATGTTTTTCAGTAGTTCATTCTCCTATTACCATGCTAACAATCTAACAATTTTTCCCCAGTTTTTGTAGGCAAGGAGCTTACACCGAAAAAAGAAGAAATGGTATCCATGCAACAGATCAGCAGAGAGAACACATCTATGATTAGGTCAATTGTAAGTTTGTTGGTTGTCGACTCTGGTCATTTAAATAAATACCAATTTGAATTTAGTGAGAAATTAACGTGAGTTAATAGCCATTACCTGACATTTTAAAGAAAACGAACATTTGCATATGTTTTTGCTGAAATAATTTTTAAAATCTATTAGGTTGTCAGAAAAGACATGACTTTTTTTATTTAAATGTATTTATTTACATTCATTTACTATACATCATTATAGCATTCAAAATGAGATTTTCCATCCAGAATACACTGAATTTTGACTCAATCAAGCACATCAACATACATGTTAATTTTCCATTTCTTGTTTCCTGTATATTTTGCTTTTTTTCCGCATCCCCAATTCCCTATCTCTCACCCTCTGCCATCTCCCACTTTCCTCCCACACTGTCTCTGGTATTCATGGTTGCTTTCTATGCCTTCCCCCCACCCCACCCCCACATTTTATTGATTCACTAAAGATCTTAATTAATCTAAATATTTTTAATAGCAAACACAGCTGATATATTCATATCCATGAACACAAGTCTAACTTTAACCATAAACCTCAGTGAGTAGAATGAATATACTATAAAGTAGCACCTAGCTAGGGCTATATAGCTTACTGCAGTTATCAAATAGGTATTTTTAATGCATTTTTTTTAATTTCAAGAAAAAGTTTTCATTTTTTTTTCTTTCCTGAAACATTTTTTTAAACATTAATTTACATTCATTCCCTAAGCATTGTCACAGCATACAAAATGTGATTTCCCTCCCAGAATATACTGCATAGTGGCTTAATCATGCATGTTATCATCAATAATTTTCCATTTCTAGATTGTGTATCTATATGTGTGTGTGTGTGTGTGTGTGTGTGTGTATACCTATTTTACCCCTATTTTACCCCTATTTTACCCCTATTTCTGACCCTCTGCCCTTTCCCACCCTCATCTCACACTATCTCTGGTGTCTACAGTTGTTTTCCTTTCCTCCTTTCTTCCCACATTTTATTGATCACACAATTTTTTTTTTTTTGGAGAGGTTTTTTTGCTATAGGATGCGTGCGCTCGCCAGACAGACAGAGAGAGACAGAGAGATAGAAAGCGAGAAATCACCCCCCAAGGGGGATGGCCACGCCGCAGATCCTTCTCCTCCATTCTCCTCTCGAGATCTTGGGCACGTACGCACATGTGCCCCGTGTGAGTTTTAAGCCACCAGGTCCAGGACACGAACCGCGGTCGACTACACAGGAGTCCAGCAACATAGCCATTACCCTCACTGCTGGCCCTGATCACACAATTTCTTAAATAATCTTACTACTTTCAATAGCAAGTTCAGCTGGTAATTTCAAGAAAAGCAGTTTTAACTTTAATTGTTCAAAGAAAGGCCAAGGAACTTTGCTTAAAACTTAAAGCCAGGAATCATGTTAGGATTCTGTTCAAATAGTAGGTACATGAACCTATCGACAGCTCAAGATGGGATAAAAATCTTTAAAACCGGACAACCAAGTCTAGAAGAAAATCAACAATACAACATGATGTACTTTTCTATGCAAAAATGTGTCATGACTTTTCCAATGACCCAATACAGACTTAATCAGGTAGTCCTACATTTGGATGTTACATAAAATCTTTGGCCTACAGAACAGTAAAATGTCATATGTATGCGAAGGACAATGGAAAGACTTTAACTGTAGACTAATAATAGCCTAAGATTTATATGTAGAGAAACTAATGTGTTGATGTGTGTGCTAATCATTAACAGCCTTTTGTTTCCTTCATGAAAGCAGAAATCTCATACTCAAGAAGACCCATTTAAATGGAATGATTTGGGAAAAGATTTCACTCATAGCTCTGCCTTGACTCAAAATTTGTTAACTTGCACAACAAAGAAACACTTTGTCAACAAACTGTGTGGAAAATCCCTTAGTGACTGCTTGTGCTTTAATCAGCACAAGAAAAATCAGACAGGAGGTAAATCATGTGAATGCCATCTGCATAGGAAAGTGTTCGATAATTGCTCCAACCTTAGGAAGCACAAGATGACTGATACTGGAGAGACTCCATATGAATATCATCTTTGTGGAAATGCTTTTATTGGTATGCCTGATCTTAGAAAACATATTGTTAAAAATCATCAAAATTACACTGAGGAGAAACCATATGAATGTCATCTGTGTGGGAAAACCTTCAGTCAGTCTTCTAAACTTAGAGTGCATAAGAGAACACACACTGGAGAAAAACCATATGGATGCCATCTGTGTGGAAAAGCCTTCAGTCAATCTTCCAACCTTAAACTTCATGAGAGAATGCACACTGGAGAAAAGCCTTATGAATGTCATCTGTGTGGAAAAGCCTTCAGTCAGTCTTCTAACCTTAAACTTCATGAGAAAACACATACTGGAGAAAAGCCATATGGATGTCATCTCTGTGGAAAAGCTTTCACCACTTCTTCTACCCTTAAACAACATGAGAGAAAACACAGTGGAGAGAAACCATATAAATGCCATTTCTGTGGGAAAGCCTTTAGTTATTCTTTTAGCCTCAGACAACATGCAAGAACACACACTGGAGAAAAACCATATGAATGCCACCTGTGTGGGAAAGCCTTCAGTCGACCTTTTGCCCTTGTACTGCATGAGAGAACACACACTGGAGAGAAACCATATGAATGTTACCTATGTGGAAAAGCTTTTCCCCATTCTTCTTCCCTTAGACAACATGAGAGAATACACAGTGGAGATAAACCATACAGATGTGATATCTGTGGGAAAGCCTTCATTCAGTCTTCTCACCTTAAACAACATGAGAGAACACATAGAAGAGAATGATAAGTAACTTCAACATATATTCTGATCTTAAGATGACATGATATCTCATTCTTCTCACCTTCCTCTGGCTCAGCCACCAAATTGCCCGGCTGCTCCTCCTCCCTCCCCGGGCCCCGTGGCAATGTTTAACCATGCTGTGAGCCAGCTGAGCAGGAAGCGGCTGCCATCAGGCATCCATGACAGTGATGGCAGTTCCAGCAGCAGCCACCAAAGCTTCAGGAGCACAACCAAATGTGCAGCTTCCCTGGAGAATCTGCTGGAAGACCCTGAAGGCGTGGAAAGATTTCGGGAATTTTTAACAAAGGAGTTCAGTGAAGAAAATGTTTTATTTTGGCTAGCATATGAAGATTTTAAGAAAACACAAAATAAGAAGCAGATGCAGGAAAATACAAAGGAGATCTATATAACCTATCTGTCCAGTAAGGCCTCATCACAAATGTATGTAGAGGGACAGTCTCAGCTCAATGAAAAGATCCTGGTTGAACCACACCCTCTGATATTCCAGAAGCTCCAGATCATCAATCTCGTGAAGTACGACAGCTGCAGCCACTTTCTAAAATCTGACTTGTTTTTAAAACACAAGCACACTGAGGAAGAAGAGGAGGAGCCACCCGATGTTCAGATAGCAGCTAAAAGAGCTTCAAGAATTTATAATACATGAGACTCACGAGCTGAGGCTGTCCGCTTTATAAAGCAAAGGAACTTCCTCTCAGGACTATGCAGGGGTTCTCATTGCTTTGTTCTTTGTAAGGACTGTGATGTACAAAACTCTTTTAGAAACGGTTTCTGAAATTAACGTAGAGTAACCTACAGTCATCCTTACTCTTCATTTGATAGACACAAATTCATATGGAAGAAAAGTAATTTTTGTTTTTTGTTTTTGTTTTTTTTTGAGAGGGTTTTTTTTTTTTTTCACTGTAGGGCACGTGTGCTTGCCAGACAGACAGAGAGAGACATAGAGACAGAAAGCAAGAAATCACCCCCTAGGGGGGATGGTCATGCCACAATCCCTTCTCCTCCATTCTCCTCTCGGGATCTTGGGCATGCACGCACACACGCCCGGTGTGAGTTTTAAGCCACCGGGTCCGGGATGTGAACTGCAGTTGACTACATGGGAGTCCAGCGACATAGCCATTACGCTAACTGCTGGTTCCCTGGAAAAAAAAGTTTTATGTGAAAATTGTATGTGTTATATTTTCAGTCAGTGATCTCATTATATACTTCTTTGTTTTGATATCGCTTCTCTTCTAATGAATGTAGTCATCTTCAACAACAGTTCTCAGCTTAAAGACACTAGGGTATTTATATAGGGAAGAACCCCTATTTAAGTAATCAGTGTGGGTATGCCTCCCTGTATAATTTATTGTTAAGCAATATAAGCATACTGGTGAATCCCTTGGTCTCTAGTAGTTATATACAATCACTCAACCAAGCACTATGCTTGGTGTGTACACAAACTTACACAAAATCAAGGAATCACTATTAAAACAGGAAACAAGTGAATGAAGTTCGTTAAGAAATGCCTCATTTGGGAGCCAGCAGGTGATGCGGTGGTTAAGGGCGTTGGACTCCCACATGGCTGACTATGGTTCAAGTTCAGGACCTAGCAGCTTCTTTTCTCATTTTCCTTCTCTCTTGTGTGCTCTGTCCCACTCTGTTCAAAATTAAAATAAATAATTTTTAAAAAAGAGAAATACCTCATATGGAGCCAGCCAGTGGCGTAGTGTTTAAGGTGCTTGATTCCCATGTGATGTACTGTGGTTTGAGTCTCACATCCAATAGCTTGAAACTCACTCTGGGCTCATGTGTGTGCACCCAAAATCCTGAGAGGAAAATGGAGAAGGGGTTGCAGTGTGGCCATACCCCCCTGTGGGGTGATTTCTTGTTTTCTGTCTCTCTGTCTGTCTCTGTCTTTCTGGTGAGTGCCTGCACCCCATAGCAAACCCCACATGGCTGACTGCTGTTCAAGTCCTAGAGCTGATGGCTTGAAAACCACACAGAGTATGTGTGCATCTGTGCCTGAAGTCCTGGGAGGAGAATGGAGAAGTGATTGTGGCATGGTCATCCCACTGGGGGTCGATTTCTCACTTTCCCTCTTCCTGTTTTTCTCCAGCAGACTCATGCACCCTATGGCAAAACCCTTAAAAATGAATAAATAAAAACCAGGTTGATGCTAAAAAGTCTGTACCTGGCAGGAGCAGGGCTATTCCAGAAGACCTTTGAGTGCATATATATATGATTTGATGAAGATCCTCTTGTGGATCCGGAATTGGGGAATCCAATCTTTGGGGTTGAATGTGATTCTGTGAGGAAAGGAGATAAGTGGGTATCTGTGCATATAGGTGGCTGAAGTCGGAAATCTCTGGCCCTGGAGGTTTCCTGAGGATGATGGTTAATTTCATATGTCCAGTTGATTGTATTAAGGGATATCAAGACATCTGGTAAAACATTGTGTGTGTTTATGAGAGTGTTTCTGAAAGAGATTAGCATTTGATTGAGTGAAGTTCAGTTGGCACCAATGGGGCAATCAATACCTATTCCTTTGGAATAAAAATAAGCAGGCTCAGGAAGGGCAAATTTCATCTCTGAGAGGTAATCCTTTTGTCCTTGGATATGGGCTATCTATACTATTCTTTCTCAGGCTGTCAACTTAGGCTGTAAATTTTACAATTGGCTTCTCTTTTGTTTTCAGGCTTGGTTTTATAATAGAGCTACATCTTCAGCTTGCAGACTGCAGATCATAGGGTGTCTCAACATCCATCATTGCATGAGCCAATTCAGCACGATAAATCCCTTTATATAATCTATAGATCTGTATCTGTCTATTGCTTTCTATACCTTCATGGTTCTGATTCTCTAGAGAATCCTAACAGAATGCAGCACCCAGGACTGGTTTCTGTCCTTCTTCCCAGGTGCCCCTAGTCTCTAGTTCCCATCCTGACCAGAGGAGACAGGAGGAACAGTAGCCTGACATTAGTCTGGGAGGGAGTTGGGCCTGTTGTCACAAGGATCAGGGAACATTCCCAACCCAACACCAAGTAAGTGCTTGTAATTTGATAAAATCTTTGAGATCCTGACACTCCTGAGACAACTTTGAAGACATCTTGCATTCCTTCCTTCCTCTGCCAAACTAGTTCTTCCTCCACAAATCCTCAGAAGATCCTGCACAGAAATGCAGTGCTGGAGACCAGGGAAACCAGAGTCTGTGGGTGATTATACAGTGCCCTGTGCAAAGACTCCCTTCATGGAATTGGTTTGAGGTCCCCTGTGATAGCTCCAGGGCTTTTGAAGTGTACACCTGAGTCTTGATGTGAACTTCATCAGCCGGTCGATTTTCATCAGAAGTCACTTCTTTTTAAAAAATTTTTACTTTTTTTTTGTTTTTTACTTTTACAGAGAGAGATTTTTGCAGTAGGGTGCATGGTTGCTGGAGAGACACAGAGAGAAAGAAAGTGAGAATATTACTCCCTCCCCCCCAGGGGGGATGGCCATGCCGCAGCCCCTTCTCCATTCTCCCATTCTCCTCTTGGGATCTTGGGCACGTTCACATATGCACCCAGTGTGTTTCAAGTGACCAAGTCCAGGATTCAAATCGCGGTTTATTACCTGGGAGTCCAGCATTGTAAGCATTGCTCCATCTGCTGGTCCCATGAGAAACCACTTCTGTGTGTGTTCTTCATTCCTTACTTTCTACTTCTGGATTGTGTTTGCTTCACTTCCAACACAGTATTGTAAGTGAATGAATAAATGTGTGACTCTTCTGACTGGCAGAGAGTCACCTGAAGCACACATGGAATAACTACTCAAGACAGATCTGAGTCAAGAGGAAGAGGCCATACCAGGTATGCACCCACTAAGTCTGTCTAGTCCTCTGTATTTATTTGGGCAAAGGAGAAAGGAAAATTATTTTTTAGAGAATCAGAAAAATGAGGATTTCCAGAACAGGTTAGTTTTGGTATTGATTAGGAGGGTAAGACTGAATGACACTAGAAGCTATACAGAATACCTTGGAATCTGGAAAATATGTTTGTCAAATCACACCCATTTAATTGCTTCCTGTTTTTTGCAAGCAGGAAAGCAGGTATTGGCCTCCTGTTTGAAAGCAGAAAGGCCATTTCCTGAGCATGCATTCACTCACTCACTCAGAATCCACGGATTTATGGTGTTCTAGAAACATGGCAATTCTGTTATTCTCTAACATAAATACATCCAAAGATGATACTTTATAAGAGGAAAAAATGAGCTCAGTGTTAGTACAGGATCATCCAGGTGATCTCAACAGAATCTCAGGACAAAAGCTCGACTAATCAAGCTGAGATTTGCCGTGTTCACCTATTGCAACTCTTAACCCTTCAAGTGGTCACGTCTTCATGCAGGGGAGTTGTAATCTTTTTTGTTTCAACACATGAAACTTTCAGCACATGAAATATAAACTTTTTTTGCCCAAAGTTTCCGTAATTTGACTCACAAACCAGATCTTGGTAAATCTTTGCTTTCAAGGTAGAGGTGTCTTGATATGTCAAACAGGACTGATAGGTCAGAGCACTCAGTGATCAAAAGTGCTACAAACAAGGGAATTCTCACAACAGAGGTTAGGTCTTCCCAGTGACTGATGTAGACATAACTCTCCTTAGATACCCTGCACTGATTTTTAGAGAAATCACTTTTATATCAGGCCATCTTGTTGATGCTCATCAGATGCCAACCAACAACCATTGTGCACAGGAAGAGCTTTAATGTCTTCTGAAAAAAATGACTAGTTCTTCAGGAAGGAAGTTTTTCTAAAAGCTGCCTATAAACCTTGTATTGTAATAAAGATTGTAATAGAAAAAAATTATGCAATGCACTGTCACCTCTTTGAGATCATGCCACAATTTTTATCTAATAATTCCCAGTCATGGAAACAGGACAGAGAGATGGTGGACAAAACTTTGTTTCCTCAGACACCTATCTTATGGGCTCTGCTGATCATAGGGGTCCTTCAAACGATGTATAACCCATGTAGACTCAGGAGGAATTG